TGGTTAGACTTTGGTGCTGTAAGATATTTTTAGGGGAAAAGAATTATGTAAATACAAATGCCCAACTTAGTGTTAAAATAACTGAGTTGTAACCAGAAAGGGAGGAAACATTTTGTACTGGAATCTTTCATTTGTGCTTGGTACTCAAATGTTTTAAGGAGCCCTGGCGGTGTAGTGGTTGCAGGCTGCAATTCACAGGGTCTACAGTTTGAAACCACCAGCTGCTCTAAGGGGGGAAGATGGGGAACTTAGAGGGGCAGTTCTACACTGTCCTATAGGGTCACTATGAGTTGGCATTGACTCCTTGGCAGAGAGGATTTTTGTTGGTGGTGATGTTAAATGTTTTAGAACTTAAGTAGATTGAAGTTATTTCTTTCTTGTAGTAATGAAAACTATATAGTAATAAAGATAGGAATACATGCATTGCTCCACCCCTTAGAATATAGAGAAAATAGTGGACTATATATTTTGAACCATCTCCATTAATTGTAGCATTAAAATAGGCCAGTATAAAGTGACTATAGTTTATAAACAATTTAAATGTCAAAGATATGCCTTAATTATATCACTAAACCCATATTTTTATATATGTCTCACAATACTCCCTATTCTACTTTGAGTTTTTGAGCTCTTGATTCATTATTAAAAATTGATGGCAAATTTGTTCACTGCTTGATAAAAAACTAGCTCTGTTGTTATAAGTTGCTGATGATTAATTATGACTCAAGGTGACACCATGTGAGCAGAGTACGCTCTGTGAAATAGGGTTTTCAATGCTGTGACCTTTTATAAGCCGATTGCCAAACCGGCCTTCTGAGGTGCCTCTCGGTTAGTTTGAACTGCCGACCTTTCAGCTAGTAGTTGAATGCCTAACTCTTTATGCCAGCCAGGGACTACTAAACTAACTCTAATGAACAGAATTATAGCAAATAATTGGTGAATAATCAGTTCCTGTTTTAGGAATACTTGCTCCTTGGGGATAGGTGTTAGGTGCTTACGGATAGTGTAGAATGACAAGAGTAAATTTAATGTGATAATTTCCTTAATTCATTCTTTTATTTTTTCTTTATTCAGAAATTTGATTCCTATTCTTATGAGTACTTAGAAATAATTTTGAGTATTTCTTATTGCCTGTTTTAGGGTAGTGATCCTATGTTTGAAAGATAATGAGTTTTGTTTGAAATTTTAAAGAATAAATTTCAAATTATCATCTATACATGAACATACATTTTTAATTCTTTTGTTGTTGATATTATTACATAATGCTAATTTCCTAGAACTATCTCCTTTTAAATTCACATAACATAGATCATCAGTAGAACAACCTGAAAGAAGAAATTTTCCAAGAGAAATTTGAAAGTGAAAGAAGATAAATGACAGTGGATACAGAAAACAATATAAGAGTAAGTATTTCATGGAAGAAGATGAGAGAAGACTATATAGAATAAATCCCAGTCCAGAAAACAGAAATATTAAAATGAGTTGAAAAAAGCTATAGATTTTTTTAGGTTGTAAATTATTTTAATATCCAAATTGTGTGAAGAAATATAAATTGCAAGTTTTAAATATGTGTATATTTAGAAAGCATAATTTATTATTAATTGGGACTGAGCGCATATTATCATTCCATATTTGAATCACGTCAAGCAGAATTATCCAATTGTTTCCAAACATTCCATTCTTTTTCTTCCCGGACTCCTTGACATCATCTCCTTTTTCACTACTCCCTCCTCCCACTGCTGTACCCCCCCACCCACCGAAACCCGTCTTCTACTTGCTGTCCCTTTGATTCATCAATTATGGGTTTCATATCCCAAAACACATAAAAACATGTCACACAACTTCATGAAGGTGACTTCCAATGACATAACACCTCTGAGATACACCCTAATATGAACAAACAAAAACAAAACAAAAGTTCAGAAAATGTTGCAAACCAGATCAGATCCAGCATGCATCCGAGGGGATCATTTGACAGTTGTAATTGTTCAGGTCAGATGTATGC